TGCTGCTGCTGCTGCTGGTGCTGCTTCTGCTGCTGCTGTTTGGGTAGGTTTGCGTGTAGGTGCGCGTTAGTTTTGCTGCAGATATAATTGTTGTTGTTGCTGCTGCTGCTGCTGCTGCAGATATTTGGCTCCATTCGCAGAGCAGCAATGGCCTGCTGTCGTCAAGTGGTGAGGCGCTGCTGCTGCTGTTGCTGCTGCTGCTGCTGCTGTTGCTGCTACTGCTACTGCTGCTGCTGTTGCTCCTGCGAATGGATCTCGTTCATTGCTGCTGCTGCTGTTTTGTCGTTTCGCTGCTACTGTTGCTGCTGCTGCTCTCTCGCGTGCATTGCTGCTGCATTTGCTGCAGTTTGAGCTGCCTTTGCTGCTGCACTTGCAGCCGTGCGGCTGCTGCTTCTGGTGCTGCTCCTTCTTCTTCGTTTCTCGATGCTGCTCCATTTGCTGCAGCTGTGCTGCATGATGTGCTGCTGCTGCTGCTTCGCTTGCTGCTGCTGCTGCTGCTGCTGCAGGACATTCGTCTTAGGGGTGGTGTCTCTCCGCAATTCGGGTTTGGCGCTGCATGCACTCTCAGTAGAAGACCTCATCGGCATCGTCAATGGTCTGCTGCTGCTGCTGCTGCTGCTGCTATCTTTGCTCCTGCTGCTGTTGCTGCTATCTTTGCTGCTGCTGCCGTTCGTTTGCTTGCTGTTTGTTTGCTGGCTGTTGCTGCTGCCAGAGGGGTGTTCGCTGCTGGTAGCTTCCGTCGCTTCTGCTGCTGCTACTGCTGAGAGCTTGTTTGCTGCTTCTGCTGCCTGCCTGCTGCTGCTGCTGCTTTTCGTTTGCTTCCTAGTGCCTCCATATGTTTGGTGCTGCTGCTGCTGCTGCTGCTCTCTGTTCGTTGCACGCACTTATCCCCTTTTCTTGTGCTGCTGCTATTGCTGCTGCTGCTGCTGCTGCAGCGAACACGGATATATCCCTCACCCCGGCGCACAGGTTGGCGCCGCTGCAGCTGCTGCAAGGGAGCAGAGGACGAAGTGAAGCAGCAGCAGCTGCTGCTGCTGCTGCTGCTAATCGCAGCAGAAGCACCGGAGCGAAGGCCAGCAGTTTGTGGCGCAAAGGCGATGATGGAACTGCCCCGTTAGCTGCTGTTGCTGCTGCTGCCGTTGCTGCTGCTGCTGTTGCTGTTGCTGCTGTTGCTGCTGCTGCTGCTGCCGTTGCTGCTCTTGCTGCTGTGTTTGTTGCTGATGCTGTGGCTGGCGTCAGGATGCGTTGAGTTGCTGCATTTGCTTGCGTTGCTGTTGCTGCGCTGGTTCTGTTTGCTGCTGCAGCAGCAGCAGCAGATACCCCGCCTGGTGGGGAGACGGAGACGAGCTGCAAGAGGAGGGGGAGCAGCAGCAGCAGCAACAGCAGCAGCAGCAGTTTGACTGCACTTTGCTGCCTCTATCACTGCATCAAGGGCAGCAACAGCCGCAGCAGCAGACGCTGCAGAACAACAGCCAGCAGCAGCAGCAGCAGCAGCAACAGCAGCAGCAGCAGCAGGATCAGGAGGAGGCGGAGCTAGCACAGCAGATGGAGTCCCTGCAGCAGCAGCAGCGGCACCTGGAGCAGCAGAAAAGAAGACTTGAGCAGCAAATTCGTGAGCAGCAGCAACAACTCGCCGTGGCTTCGCAGCAGCACCAGCCGCAACAACGGGAGCAGCAGCGCCGGCAGCAACCGCAGCAGCAGCAACAGCAGCAGCAGCAGCAGCAGCAGCAACAGCAACAGCGGGCCCCCTTGGAAGATGAAGAGGCCGATGCTCTGGTGCGGCGCCTGTTGCAGCAGCTAAAACAAAAGCAGCTGCAGCAGCAGCATCAGCAGCAGCGACATCCACAGCGGCAGGAGCAGCAGCAGCAGCGGCTGCTGCGGCAGCGGAACCTGCAGCCAGGGACAGCAGCAGCAGCAAAACGAAATGTCTCTGGCTTCTTTGCAGACCGTGAAGCAGCAGAGCAGGTATTTTTATCTTCATTGAGGCCTGATAGCAACTATGCACCTGCTGCTGTTGCTGCTGCTGCTGCTGCTGCTGCTCGATCCACAGCAGCAGCAGCAGCAGGGAACCGGAGACACCTGCGCACTCTCGGCGGCTACATCAGCAGCAACGGGAGACTGCAGCAGCATGTTGGTACTGCTGCTGCTGCTGACAGCAGCAGCAACGTACAGAAGGCCCTCACACGCACACAGGGGCTGCTGCTAAGGCAGCAAATGAAGCAGCAGCTCTTGCTGGAGCAGCAGCTGCTGAGGCAGCAACAGCAAGAACAGCTGCAGCAGCAACAGCTGCAGCAACAGCAGCTGCAGCAGCAGCTCCTTGTGCTGCAACAGCAACTGCAGCAACAGCAGCTGCAACAGCAACAGCAACAGCACCAGCAGCAACACACACGCATCCCTGCTAGTGTGGAGGCTCAGCTGCAGCAGCAGCAGCGGAGGCATCAGCAGCTGCAGCAGCAACAGCAGCAAGCAGAGAAGGTGAAGCAGCACCAGCAGTTTCTACAGCAGCAGTTTGAAGAGGCGCTACTGCAAGAAGGGCCCGGAGATGACAGCAGCAGCAACAGTAGCAGCAGCAGCAGCAGCAGTAGCAGCAGCAGCAGTAGCAGCAGTAGCAGCAGCAGCAGCAGCGCAGTTCCCTCCTTGTTAATGCCTACGGAACGCCCACCCCCACATGCAGACAGCAGCAGCAGCAGCAGCAGCAGCAGCAGCTACTCTGCTGTAGTGCCATATAGCGGTCCGAGGCGGGCGGAGGAGGCGACCGCAGGTGAATCACCGCACCCTGCAGCAGCAGCAGCAGCTGCTGCTGCTGCAGCAGCTGCAGCAGCAGCAGCAGCAGAGTTGGCGAGTTCTCCGATTCGGTCTTCCGTCTTAGCTGTGGATTCTCTTAAAGAAGAGTTCTCTCCGCATGCATCGCCAGCAGCAACATCTCCTGAAGCAACAGCAACAGCAGCAGCAGCAGCAGCAACAGCGGAGGGTGCGGCCGACTCCAGCGACTCCGAAGCAGCAGCATCTTCTTTAGGAATTGGTGTCTCCTCCTCTGTCTCCCCAGACAGGCTGAACTCGTGGCAGCAGCAACAACAACAGCAACAGCAGCAGCAGCAGCAGCAGCAGCAACGTGTGTCTGCTGAAGATTTGATCGAGCAGTTCACCATAGGGAGACCCGTGAAGCATCCACTGCAGCAGCAGCAGCAGCAGCAAGACGCAGCAGCAGCAGCAGCAGCAGCAGCGGGAGAAGAACTGACATCGGCGATGCTTGACGGCATGCTAAAGGGCTATGGTGTATGCGTGAGCAGCAGCAACAGCAACAGCAACAGCAGCAGCAGCAGCAGCAGCAGCAGCAGCTCCTCGCTGGAGCAGCAGCAAACGAATGCTACAGCAGCATCAGAATACACCAGCAGCACCATCGAAGGCTTCGCCTCTATGAACGCATCTCTCGCCTTAGCAGCAGAGCAGCAAGCTCTAGCTGCTGTATCTGCTGCTGCTGTTGCAGCAACAGCATCAGCAGCAGCAGCAACTGCGCCCATCCAGAACGCCGCCTCCCGGAGACATTTTGCTGCTACAGCAGCAGCAGCTGCTGCTGCTTCAGCGTTCGATAGCAGCAGCAGCAACACACCTGATAGCGCCAGTGAGGTTAGCACAGCAGCGTTAATAGCAGGGAGTGAACAAGAAATACACAAGGCCCTCTTGCAGCAGCAGCAGCAGCAGGAGCAGCAGCAAGAACAGCAGCAACAGCAGCGACTACCGCGCGCATGTGCGTTCGATATCCCCCTAGACTGATTACGTGCTGCAGCAGCAGCATATCCTACTGCTGCTGCTGCTGCTGCAGCAATAAGTGGATCTCACGGCAACACCCAGAGGGATATAGTGGAGCCATCAGCAGCGGCATCAGCTGCTGCTGCTGCTGCACCTTTGCTGCCTTTTATGCAGCAGCAGCAGGTTATTTGTTTTAATTTAGGATCAGCATACAGCACTTATTTTCTCAGCAGCGATGGCTGCTGCTGCTGCTGTTGCTGTTGCTGCTGCTGCAGAGGGAGTAGGAGTGTCTGCTGTACGTACATACTACAACAGCAGCAGCGGCTTCAGCAGCTGCAGCAGGGCGAGCAGGAGCAGCAGCAGCAGCTGCTGCTGCTGCACCTAGCAAAGGAATAATAAACAGAGGGAGCTCTATTAGCAATATGCTGTTTAAAATAAGACGGAGGCAGCATTTTGAATTGCACTTAAAAAGTACAAACGAGATGCAGCTGATTCTGCTATATATAATAATAAACAGCAAACTGCGGTGTACAGACACAGCAAAGCAGCAGCAAAAAGGTTTGCTTAGGTGTTAACATGTAGCACTTATTTTAAATAAATGTTTATAATTTCAATTGGTAAATTAAAGCGGTATTTAATTATTAAATTTAGAGAAATAATTTTAATTTATTTTTTATTTTACAGTCAACTGGAGATACACTCGGAAAGGGGGCGGCGAGAAGACAGAGAATGTGCATAAAAATAAATTTAAATGCATAGAATAATATTTAATAATATTTAATTAATTTAAATGAATCAAATCAAATCAAAGACTTCAAGAAAACCAATTAATATAACACAACGAGCTGCCTGTACACCCCAGGCAGTGAACGGCTAAATACATCCTTTAGAAACGCTGCATTCAGAGACAAGTATATATATATATATATATATATATATATATATATATATATATATATATATATATATATATATATATATAACTATATATATATGTATATATATAAATGCACCCTAATATAAGTGCTGCACTCAGAGAGGAGGAAAAAGGTTGAAATAACCCCGACATATATTAAAGAATGATCCATTATACCCATACATATATATATAATATATATGGGTATATATATACCTATGTATATATATACATATATATATATATATACATATATGTATATATATATGTATATATATATGTGAGTGTGTATATTATAGAAGTACATCCTATATGAACACTACACCCAAAGCAAAGAAAGCCGTTATGTATGTATATATATATATATATATATATATATATATATCTTGTGCATATATATGTATACATATATATATATATATATATTGTACATATATATGTGGATAGACATATATGTATATATATATATATATATACATCTATTAAAGTATGTATGCATATATATATATATATCAGCATATATATATGTATTTATCTTTACTATTTCTATACGGGGTTTATCAATAATAATTCTTCTTTAATCTACGGCTGCTGAGGTGTACGCATAGCTTTGAAGTACATTGGAAATATAAAGTAGAAATAATAATTATTTTAAGAAAAGAATTATTATATCTATTTCTTTTTAAAGAACATTGAAATAAAATAAACAAACGTTTCTTACACACTCTTACAGCCCTAGGTAGCTGCTGCAAGCCCTCTTAAACTTAATGCATTACTTTCTCTGTAATGCTGCTTTATTTATTTATTATTTCATTTTATTTATATTCTTTCTTCAGGAAATACCCCTAAAGATTCAATAAGAAAGCTATTTCAATGCGTATGCAGTATTATAACCCAAGCTGCCCAGCGGTCTGTGCAGCAGCAGCAGCAACAGCAGCAGCAGCAGCAGCAGCAGCAGCAGCAGCAGCATGCGAAGTGTCCATTGAGCTGTACGTACACTTCAAAATTATTTGAATATTACACCTTTAAAGTTGTTTGTCAAATTTTAATTCCTTTATGTTGAACTCCGCTAGTCAGGGGTTTCTCTTTGAGCTCCCTCTGCTGCAGCAGCAGCAGCAGCAGCAGCAACGGAGCATCAGCAGCAGCAGCAGCAACGGAGCATCAGCAGCAGCAGCAACAACAGCAACAGCAACAGCAAAAGCGTGTACACGAACGGGATCGGGATCGTTTGGTCCTGCAGCAGCCACAGCAGCAGAAACGGGGTCAGCGAGAACGGCACTCCATAGTCAACGAAAACCTAGCAGCAGCAGCAGCAGCAACAGCAGCAGCAGCAGCAGCAGCAGCAACAGCAGCAGCTGGGGGGAGACTGGTATTGCAATGACCGCAACGCTTCCTTGAGCAGCAGCAGCAGAAGCAGCAGCGGTTGTCTGTTCTTCTCTTTCGGTTGTTTTCAGGTGTAAGTACACCTCAGCCTACAGCTGCCGCTGGTCTCGATGTTGCCAGCAGCTGCAGCAGCAGCAGAAGCTGCAGCAGCTGCTGCAGAAGCTGCTGCAGCAAAGACTGAAGCAGCAGAAGCTGCAGCAGCAGAAGCTGCAGTAGCAAAAAATGCAGCAGCAGAGGCTGCAGCAGCAGAAGCTGAAGCAGCAAGAACTGCAGCAGCAAAAGCTGCAGCAGCAGAAGCTGCAGCAGCAGAAGCTGAAGCAGCAAAAACTGCAGCAGCAGAAGCTGCAGTAGCAGAAGCTGCAGCAGCAAAAGCTGCAGCAGCAGAAGCTGCAGCAGCAGAAACTGCAGCAGCAGAAGCAGCAGCAGCAAAAGCTGCAGCAGCAGAAGCTGCCGCAGCAAAAACTGCAGCGGCAGAAGCAGCAGCAGCAGAAACTGCAGCAGCAGAAGCTGCAGCAGCAGAAGCAGCAGCAGCAAAAACTGCAGCAGCAAAAGCTGCGGCAGCAGAAGCTGCAGCAGCAGAAACTGCAGCAGCAGAAGCTGCGGCAGCAGAAGCTGCAGCAGCAGAAACTGCAGCAGCAAAAACTGCAGCAGCAGAAGCTGCGGCAGCAGCAGCTGCAGCAGCAGAAACTGCAGCAGCAGAAGCTGCTGCAGCAGAAACTTCAGCGGTAGAAACTGCAGCAACAGAAGCTGCAGCAACAGAAGCCGCAGCAGCAGCTGCTGCTGTAACCACAACGGCAACAGCAGAATCTGTACCAGAAGAAAATGCAGCACCAGATCCTGAAGCAACAGCAGAAGCGGCAGCAGTAGAAGCTGCAGCAGCAGCAGCAACAGCAGCAGCAGCAGGAGAGGAGTCGGCTGTTGAGTATTGGCGCTGCAGCAGCATACCCTCTCCGCAGCAGAATCCTATGGGTTACCTTAACATAGAGCGGTTCGTTTGCTGCTGCCTGCAGCAGCTGCAGCAGCAGCAGCAGCAGCAGCGCCGCTCAGGCTGCATCCTCTTAGCTGCTTCCCTCAGGGGAGCAGCAGAAAGAAGCAAGAAGCTGCTGCTGACTTGCAGCTTCAGCGCGCTGCGCTGCTGCTGGCTTGCTGCTGCTGCTGCTGCAACACTAGCAGCAGCAGCAGCAGAAACAGCAGCAATGCAACGGGGAACGAAATTAACACCAAAAGACACCCCCCGTCGCCTGTCAATTGGCTCCTCAACGTGCAGCAGCAGCAGCAACAGCAACAGCAGCAGCAGCAGCAGCAGCAGCAAGCGAAGCAGCATCAAAGGCACCAAAATCAAGGCTGATTCAAAGAGCCCTTGTTCAAGCAGAAAGACCTGCTGCCGAAGAGCAGCAACAGCAACAGCAACAGCTGCTGCTGCACCAGCCGCAGCAGCAGCAGCAGCAGCAGCAGCGGAAGCCAAAGGCGCTCCCCACCTGGGCTTCGTAAAGAGGTGAGCGCTTCAACATTATCTAGCAATAGAAGACAGGATACGCCTTGTTGTTCTGCTCTTGCTGCTGCTACTGTTGCTTCTGCTGCTGCCTCTGCTGCTTCTTCTGTTGCTTCTGCTGCTAGTTTTGCTTTCAGGTCTTGCGGCGTCTGGTGCTGTTGCTGCTGCTGATTTCTTCTGGTTGCTTCGGTGTTCGCTGCAGGCTGAGGGAAGAAGCTGCTGCAATTTTGTCTTTAGATTACTTAGCAGAGCCGCAGCAAAGCGGATCTTGAAACAAAATATGCCCTGCTGCTGCTGCTGCCGCTGCTGCTGCTGTTGCTGTTGCCTGGGTTCCGCCTAGGGCCCAGAAGCTGCTGCAGCGCTAAAAAACAATTCGCTGCTGCTGTTGCTGCTGCCTCTAGAGAACTAGTAGTAGTTGCCGCAGCTGTAGGGAGATGCTGTGCTGCTGCAGCAAAATCGTTTTACTGCTGCTGCATCCGCATGAGCAGCAACAGCAGCAATAAGAGCAGCAGCAAAAGCAGCAGAGGCAGCAATAGCAGCAGCAGCACCACCACCAATAGCAGCATTAACAACAGTACCAATAGCAGCAGCAACAGCACCAATCACAGGAGCAGCAAAAGCAGCAGCAAGAAGAGCAGCAGCTCTGATGCTGATGCTCACGCACTGACAGAGCGCCCCTTGCAGCAAACAGGTGAAGGGCTGTTTGCTGCTAAAATATACGGCGCTTCGTGCTGCTGCTTCTGTTGCTGCTGCAACAGAGGCTGCTCCTGTTGTTGCTGCTGCCCGTGCTGCTGCAGCAGCTGATGCTGCAGCGATCGTTCTATATCGCCGCAAGACAACACATGCAGATGGAGGCATTTTTAAAACTCTTCTTTTGCAGCTGCTGCATCTTCTGTTGCTGCTGTTGCTGCTGCTGCTGTTGGTCTCCGTACTGTCAGTATCTACAACGAAGAGAGGGCTGCTGCTGCACTTGCTGCTTCAACTAAGGCGGCACTATGCTGCGCGGTACTTTCTGCTGCTTCTGCTGCTGCTGCATCTGCTGCTGCTGCTACGCTTTGCTGCTGCCTAAAGGAAATGATGCACGCGGCGTCTGCTCTGAATCAGCTTCATCAGCTGTTGCTGCTGCTGCTGTTGCGGCACTAGCAGCAGCTCCTGCTGCTGTGCTCGCGGGACCGATTAAACCCTAAGCCCTCAAAGAGCAGCACGAAACCCTAAACCCTTGGCAGCACTAAACCCTAAACCCTAGATAGCAAGCCCTAAACCTTAGACAGCAACCCCTAAACCCTAGATAGCAAACCCTAAACCCTAAACCCTCAAAGCGAAACAACAGTCAAAGCAGAGAGGTGGCCAAAGCACTAACGAAGCAAAGTGCAGCAAAATGTGTGCGGCAGCAGCGACAGCAGCAGCCGCACGCATAGCTGTCACGCTCCCTAACCAGCAATGCTGCTGCTGCTGCTAATGCTGCTGCTGCTGTTCGCCTCGCTATCGCTGCAGCTCTTCTTTTCTCCGCTGCTGAGGGGCTCCTCGCGCTGCTGCACGCCTTGAGAAGCAGCGAGGCAGCAAATCTGCTGCTGCAGCTGCTGCTCCCGCTTCTGTATTGCAAGAACCTGAGCGGTAACTGCTGCTGTCAGTCGTACCAGTGAAGAAATATCTGCAGCAGCAGCAGCAGCAGCAGCAGCAGCAAAGGGGCAATTAGCAGCGGCAGGATATTCTTCGCAAACTGTGGCCATGTATGCCCAGAGCAGCAGCAGCTACAGATACAGCAGCAGCAAGGCATGCAGCCGCAGCAGCAACAAAGCAGCAACAACAGCATCAGCAACAACAGAGCAGTAGCAGCAACACCATGACAGCAGCAGAAAGGGCAGTATGCGGAAGGCCTTGCCTGGTTGCTGAGAAGCGTTTGCTGCTGCTTCTTGCTGCAGCAGAAGCGGGGCGATTGGCGTCAGCAGCTGGGGCGGCAGCCACTGCAGCAGCAACGAATGCTGCGGTAGAGACAACGCCAGCTGCTGCCGCCGGAAGGCAGCAGCAGCAGCAGAAAGCAGAGCAGCAACAGTGGAGCACCGGCGCTTCAACTCCTCCTGCAGCAGCAGCAGCAGCACCAGCAACAGGGACAGCAATTGTTGTTGCAACAATACTCCAGCAGCAGCAGCAGCAGCAGCAGCAGCAGCGATACAAAACAGCCAGACCAGCAGCAAGATTTAAGTGGCAGCAGCAACACATAAGACGACTTGCCGATTGTTTTTCGAGTTTCTCCAGCTTTTGCTGCTGTTGCTGCTGCTGTTGCTGCATGCGCTCTGCTTCGTCTGCCTGCAGCAGCAGCTGCTGCTGCAGCGAAGCAGCTCTGCGCTGCAGCAGCCGGGGGATAGTTTGCTGCAGCAGAACCAATTGCTGCCTCTCCTCCTTGAGCAACGTCGACTCTGCTGTGTCTATCCACTTCACAGCGGCAACAGCAACCTCTGCTGCTGCTGCTGCTGCTGCTCGACGCGCCCGTCGGTTGTTGCTGCTGCTTGACGCTGTTGCTGCTGCTGCCGCTGCTGCTGCTTTCGCCGCTGCTACACGTTGCTGCCGAACCTCCATCAGCCCCTTCTTCTGCTCCTCGTACGCTGCGTTGACAGCAGCAGCAGCCTGCATGCACAACTGCGGTTGCTGTTGCTGCTGCTGCTGTTGCTGCTGTCCATTGCTGCTGCTGCTGCTGCTGTTAATAGACAATGAGGGGTCAGCTGCAACAGCAGCATCTAAATCCAGCACGAACAGTACAGGATCATTGTGTGCTCTTTTTGCCGCTGCTGCGGCTGTTACTGCAGGTGTTGTTATTGTTGCTGTTGCTGGTGTTGCTGCTGCTGCTGCTATTGCTGCTGCTGCAGAAGTAACACCAACCAACAGCCGCGGCACAGAGAAATTACCGAAGAGTTGAGGCAAAAATCTTGAGGTGTCTCCGAGGGGGAGAGGCGCCAATGTAATGCAGACCCTGTTTCCTTTCTGCTGCTGCTGCTGCTGCTGTTGCTGTTGTTGCTGCTGCTGTTGCTGCTGCTGCACAGAGGAGACGAGACCACGTATATCCACGCAGAAGGCACCTGTGCTGCAGCAGATGAGGGCGCAGGAGTAGAAGCAGCAGCAGCTGCTGCTGCTGCTGCTGCCAGGGGGAGCAGGGAAAGAGCGCAGCTCCAACGATTTGCTGCTGCTAACGAGCAGCCGTTCTGTAACAGCAAGAGAAACGAAAGATACGCACTGCAGCAGCAGCTGCTGCTGCTGCTGCAGCTGCTGCTGAAGCGAGACTCGCCTCTGCAGGCGTGGCTGCACGGTGTCTGCGGTCGCGAGGCATTCCGCATGCAAGATGCTGCTGCTGCTGCTGCTGCTGCCGCTGTTGATGCAGCGCAGCAGCAGCAGTAGCGGTGAAGTACTTATCAGGACCTCTGCCTGCTGCTGTATATCCGGTGCAGCAGCCCGTGGTGGAGGCGGCAGCAAAAACCGCTGCGGCTCTGGCTGTAGATTGCTGCTGCTGCTACTATTGCTGCTGTTGTTGTTGCTGCTACTGTTGTTGCTGCTGCTGTTGTTGCTGCTGCTGCTACTGCTGCTGTTTCTAGCCCACTCGCTCAGCCACAAGGAAACCTCGTGCTGCTGTGGTGCATCTGTGCAGCAGCCATCCCCCTGCTTAGCAGCAGCTGCGCTGCTGCTGCTGCTGCTGCTGTTGCTGCTGCTGCTGTTGCTGCTGCTGTTGCTGCTGTTGCTGCTGCTGGTGCTTCCCTGCGTCGGATGCAGCAGCTCCTGCCGCAGCGCAGCGTCATGCAGCTGCAACGCGAGGGCAGGCGGCAGCTGCGCTCGAGCTGGGAGGAAGGGAGAGAGACAGAGACAGCTGTTGTTGCTGCTGCTGCTGCTGCTGGGTGGGTATGAGACAAAGAGAGCGACAGCAGACCAGAGATGTATTCTTTCTGCTGCTGCTCCAAAGTGAAAAGAAGAAGCCAAAGAAGACAGGCCAGCAGCAGAGGCAGCAGCAGCAGCAGCAGCACCGTTTGCTGCTGCTGGTAGCAAAATTTCCTGCTCGGGCATCTCCGTGCTGCAGCAAATGTCAAAGAGCCGCAGCACTGCATGCCGGTTGGTTTCATTTGCTGCTGCTATTGCTGTTGCTGCTGCTGCTTCTCTTGAGATCGTCTCATGGGTAAGAACTACAACAGCCCAATCAGAGAAAGGGTGAAAAGAAACTTGAACGAATGCACGCTGCTGCGGCTGCTTCTGTTGTTGCTGCTGCTGCTGCTGCTGCTGCTGTTGCTGCTGCTGCAGTTCCATGCTGGTGTTCACAAGAAGGAGTTTTCCGTTGGTCCTGCAGCAATTGCTGCTGCGGCTGGGTTCTGCGGGAAGCGGCAGCCCCAGCTGCTTCTGCTGCTTTTGCTGCTGCTGCACCTGCTGCTGTTGCTGCAGTGAAGGCACCGCAGCAACACAGCAGGCGTTAGAGCAGCAAAGCGCCAATGCCTTGCCGTTGCTGCTGCAGCAGATGTAGTTAAACTTCCCTTCTGCTTCTACGTCGTATCCAGGTACGTACACCTCAAAGAGGCCTACCTCCTGCAGATCCTGCTGCTGCTGCCGCTGCTGCTGCTGCCGCTGTTGCTGAAGCAGGTAGCAGCCAATGAGCACCGTAGAGCTGCTGTGCCCCCTCGTGCTGCTGCTCCTTTGCTGCAGCAGCTCGAACATATGCAACTCTGGATCTTCTTCTGCTGTTTCTGACCCGGCAACGCAGCAGCACGCCACCTCGTCTTGCTGCTGCGCGTCTTGCTGCTGCAGCTCCTGCTGCTGCAGCATCTGCTGCTGCCGCTGCCGATGCTTTGGAAAGGCATACCTGCCCCTGAAACTAGCAGCAGGCTTCTTAGGAGAGCCAACGCTAGAAAGAAGCTGGCTGGGTTGTCCCTGCTGCTGCTTTTCCTTCTGTTTCTGCTGCTGCTGCTGCTGCTGCTGCTGCTGCTGTTGCTTTTGCTGCTGTTGCTGTTGCTGCTGTTGCTGCTGCGGTTGGGGTGAGAACTGAAAAGGTGATCCAAATATCATACTTGCTTTCTTGTCATTACTGCTGCTATTGCTGCTGCTGCTGCTGCTAGCAGCAGCAGCAGCAGCAGCAGTAACGGCGGGCTGAAGGCCAAATATCCCTGTCATCGTCCCTCTGCCTCACGGGGGTCTGCTGCTGCTGCTGCTGATGCAGTTGTTGTTGCTGCTGCTGATGATGCAGTTGTTGCTGCTGCTGCTATTGCTGCCGTCCCTAATGTTGTTCTTGTTGCTGCTGCTGCTGCAAAGTAAATATCCAGCAGCAGACAACAATTATTGAGGGGCCTCTCCCGTGGGGCTCGAACTTGTCGTCCGCTATGCTGCTGCTGCTGTTGCTGTTGCTGCTGCTGCTCCTGCTCCTGATTGATGTTGCAGCCTCTGTTGCTGCTGATAGATGATGCAGCTCCTGTTGTTGTTGTTGCTGCTGCTGCTGCTGCTGCTGCTGCTGCCCCGGCAGGAAGCCAATACATGCAGAGGCGCCGGGGCGCGCCCTCCAAAGGAGTCTCTCAGTTGAGGTGTATGTACACCGAGTTTGATACTAAAAGCAGCCTTCACGTTGAAGTCCACAGCAACAGCACTAGCAGCAGCAGCTGCTGCTGCAGCAACTGCAGGGACTCTCCTGGTTCTGCTGCGGCCCTCCTCCCGCCTTTGTTGCTGTTGCGGTTGCTGCAGCTTCAGCAGCAAAACGTTTCGCTCTCTGTGGTTTGTCTCTATAAAGAAACAGCAGCAACAAAAATTAACTCCTGCGTCTCTTAGAACACCAACTGCCAGGACAGGCCGCAGGCAAGGGGGGCCCCAGGGGGCCCCCATCGGCGGGCTGCTGCTGCTACTGCTGTTGTTGCTGTTGCTGCTGCTGCTGCTGTTGTTTGGGTGTCTTTCTCCTGGCCTTTTAGGTGTATGTACACCACAAACAATATGGATAGCAGCTGCAACGGAAGCCGCAGGAATCTGCTGGGAAAGTTGCTGCTGGGCCCGTAACAGCAGGCGTGAACAGCAGCAACTCGACGCAGCAGCAGAAGCAGCAGCACGACCAACAACAGCAGCAGAATAGCTAGTGCCTCCTTGCTGCTGCAGAGGCGCAACAGCAAGCAGCAGCAGCAGCAGCTGGAGTTTCTTCACGGGCCTTTGTTTCACGCTGCGGACAGGTCTGCTGCGGCAAGACTCAACGGCTGTTGCTCCTACTCCGCAGCAGCAGCAGCAACAGCAGCAGCAACAGCTCCAGGCCTAGAGTGCCGCCTCTACGCCACAGCAGCCTCTGTTGCTGAAGGGTGCTAAGAACTGGCAGTAGAGAAGCCCAACAGAGTCGTCTTGTATCCCTGCTGCTGCAGCAGCAGCAACAACAATAGCAACACCGACAGCAGCAGCAGCAATGATTATGGCAAGGCCAAGCTGCTGATTTCGATGTGTCCTTTATCCTTGCTGCTGCTCCCCTTCGTGGAGGTCATACGAAAACAACAGTTTGGGGGAGTGCTGTTCATTTAACAGCAGAGGTGCAGCAAGTAGAGACAACTAAAGTTAAGAAGTATCGAAAATAATAAATAACAAGGAGGTTCCAACATCCCGTATGTCCACCGCAAAAATATACAGAAAAAGAAAGTGCAGTCTGCACGCACTGATTTCAATGAGTTGAACTTCAATACACCTTCTGTTTCTCTATTATTACCATATGCCCCGCTGTCTCCAGACGATAGATGGTGATGCGCTGTGAGTTGAGGATAAAGCCTTTTTTGCAGTTTAGAAGGCACTTTTGCTGCTGCTCAACAGCATCTCTCTATGCAGAGACCCGTTTCTCAGACTACTCGGCATTCCTAAAATGCTTCCTTTTATTTACTTTATTTTTAGGAGTAGAAGACCGCATGCACTGGAACGGCATCTTCCTCACTTATAATCACCACAAGCTCAAGGAACGAAGTGGCGCAATCGTTTGCTTTCTCTGGGCCTCTCATCACTGTAGAATGCCCAGCATAGTGCTGTAGCTACTGCTCCTGTAGCAGCTGCTGCTGCCGTTGCCGCTGCTATGGTTGCTGCTGCTGGTGATCCCCAGCATATGTTTCCGAGGTCTCTCCTGCTGTGCCCTCGGTTGCTGCTGCTTTGGAGACCAGTTAGTGCAAACAGGAGCAGACAACACTGGCGAAGTAAGGGGGGAAGTGGTACACCAGCAATCCCCAAAAGGCGGTTGGTGGCGCCCAGCAGCAAAATACGGAACAAATTAATGGGCTTCAGGCACCGCCGCTGAAGTAGCGGTAGGTCGGCATGAAGAAAAGAGTATCGAAACAGAGTTGAGATCGGAGAGCGGGAGTGTATATATATATATATATATATATATATGTCAGCAAACAACAAGTAGTTTTATATGGCCCAGGTTCCACCGCTGTGTGCACGCCCACAGCTGCCGGAGCCAACTCCTAGCTGACGAGTTTCCGAAGATACTCCCGAAGAATCGCTCCGCATAAGCGTTCCTCAGAAAGCCACTCGGGGATTCTTCGATGTCCTGGCCATTCAACGCACTATTCCCCTTTACTATGGCATCTGTTGGTTGCTACCCGCGCAGCTTATCTCAGTCTCCTCCAGTTATGCCTTCTCGCAACGATGTTACTGTTGATTTGTCGGCGGAGTTCGAGGATATTTCGGTGATTCCCTGAACCGTTTTAGAAAGCCAACGTTAATGATAGGATGCGATCTCAACGTTTGGCGGAGGAAGACGATGTACGACAACGCCCTAGCCCGAGAATAAAACCCAAGTGCCTTACCCAACTTATTGCGAACTTCTTCGGTTGCTCGCCCTCCTGCCCTCTACGGAGAGTGTGCGAATTCACTAAATCCAGCTGCATTGCTTCACAATGACGGCTAAGCGTCGAACATCTGAATTGTCGTGCACGTGTATTACTACAGGCCACCCCCATATTAGATGTATATATAAATATGGGTATGTATAGAATGAAGTACTATCCTCGAGTTTTCTTCGCATGTGCACATTGCCTATATAAGATGAAATGGTATATGCGCTATAGTGGATTCATGCCTAGATCGTGTTTTGAAAAGAAAACAGCTACAAAGAGCTATTTATATTGTTCCTTTTTGCCTCTGTCTGCAGGGAATGTGCAGAGGGCGATGGCGGGCAATGGGTGAGAGAGATCACTGACCTCCCCGCTTTGCTGGACGTCTTGGGTTTTATTTGAATGAGGGGAGGGGAGGGGCGTACTTTAATTGAATTCATTCAACTCGCAGTTGCCTCTATCCTCGGTTTGCAACGACTACTAGAAAAATACATAAATCATATGTATGTACATATATTATAGCCACGCTGACAAACTCCGCCCCAAAACAACTTCAGCAGAAACAAAAATTCATTTTGTTGGAGTATGCACTGCGTTCTTTCCGAAGAAGAAACTGCAATACATGCGACCAACGCAAGTACAACTTCCCCCAAATGGCAGCAGCGGATCTGTTCTACGCAGCTGCTTAGGTGTGGCTGTTTTGCATTGTACATCTGCATTCATTGTTTTGCTTCATGGTTTGCTAGCCAGCCGTCTGTAGGTGTATTGTCCTTATTTTCTAGTTTTTTATCGATCGCGATGACGGCAGCATAGCAGAGCAGCAAAACTTGCAAAACATTTTTAGCTCAGTTCGGATCATCCGCCAGTCCTAAAGTGCCTGCAGCTGTCATAATGCGTTCAACAGAGCCATGCAATTCATCTCTTGTGGAGTCGCGAGACAGTGTATTGGGCACGAGAGTTGTGGCTTTTCGGGCTTTTCTGCCAGGGCTTGTAGTAGAGGCGCAACTGCCTTCGTATTCTTCTTCAGTCTCCTCAGCACAGGGGGTCTCACCCGCAACAACGCACGGGCTGCATAAGAGAGGACGCGTTCTGTTGACAACACGAGGGGTTTCGGGGCAAGAAGGGGTTGCTGGAGCTGCTGCGGCAGGAGTTGTAGGTGGTGCTGCTGTTTGGCAAATTTCCTCTTGTGTTGGTTCGGTCTCAGGAGTTGGAAGAGTTGCTGCTTCTTCCTCGGCTGCCTGCACACCCGACTCTTCTTCTACAGAGGGGTTGCTGAGTCTTGGAACTCTGAGTTTGTCATGGTGTCTGTAGGCAGGAGCCGTAACCTCGTGAGGATGCAGGAATCTGTGCAGCATGCAAATACGCATACAACAGAAGCAAATGCAGATAACTAACTTGTTTAAAAAAGCAGGCTCTACGAAGACCAAAGAGACAAAAGAGGGAACAACAGATCGTTTGAAACCCGCACCTGCAGTTATCTCCATTAAGGCACTTTCCACGTTTGGCGAATCTACAAAGAGTAGTTTTGTATTCAGGAGGTTGAGGCTGAAGTTCGTCTTGAGAATGAGCATAAGGACAACGGGCGTCATTACACTCGAGGCCAAAGAAGACAAAACGGCACCATTTGGTGCAGCGGAGATCTGGTGTAGGCCGCAGTTCTTCCTATGAACAAAGCAAGTTTTGAATGATTTGCACCATATAGGGGGCTGCTCTGCGTACATACTTCTCTGTCTTGTTAGCTGACAATTGCAAAGTAGTGTAGAAACAGCAGATTGTGTTGTCGAACGCAGGAATTGTTTGCTTGCTTACAACGGAATGAGCGAAGGTGCAGTCTCTCTTTCTACAGTACCCCTTGGAGAGGTAGCGGCTGCACATCTTAGTGTTAATAAGCCGGTTTACAGGCGCCTTAGGGGGGGCTCTGTAAATTTGCTGGGGCAGATACTGGGGAGCAGGGCAGTAGATAGGCGGGTAGTCCACCAGGCGGGGTATGAACACCGGAAGTCTGCGATCTTGCTGATTTGCAATCGCCGCAATCATCGGGTAATCCATCTTCCTGAAATTTCAAGCAAAGAAGAAGTCAGTCAGCACGGACAAAGCCATGGGCAAGGAAAAGAAGGACCTAGAAACTCGCTCGACTAGTCGCTCTGGCTATTGGGGTGAGAGCGGAACAAATATATCAAAAGAAAAAATATAAAGTATTATTTAATTGATCATTGATATGACATATATGTGTTATGCTTACGCTGGTGGTCGTTTCAAGAAGTACAACGACAACAGACGTCTGCTGGGTTGTTTGGCTTGCGGCGGGTTGTGCGATTGAAATCAAAATGCTCAATTCAACAATAATAATCAAATAAATAAAAGTGATGCATTAAGTACATTGCAAAAAGGCAGGCGCCGCTAGCACTTCAGTGGCAGGGAGCCTCAACTCGGGCTGGTGGCGAAGGTGGGCAGCCAAGCCATTCCTTCCATTGGTCCTGTGAAGACACTTTCAGCTTCGTTATTCAAGGAGGAAGGAGGGAATGAAATTTACGTTTATTTTGTTTGAATCAACAAATGTTAAATTAGGATATATATTTCATGAATAAATGCTGTTTTCTTTCGAAAAATAAACAAGAAACCCAGGCGGATTGAATGAAGGTCACCACCACCCACCTCTGCTCGTGGCTGACTGCCGGGTCTTGCAACGGCGGCAGCTTCAGATTTATTTTCCCCCCCTTAACGTGTAGTTAAAATTAAGTTGAAAGAATTCAATAAGTTGAATTTCAGAGAAGAAATATACCAGAAATGTCTGTTTTCTCCAACACGAGGCAGTGTGGCTCTCTACTTCGCCATACTGTCGTCCCGTGTAGCGGCTGTCTTCCTTTCGAAACTCCCTCAGAAACTCTGTGCAAACACTGTAGAAATATACAGACTTTTAAATACAATATATTTATGTATCTATATGCCTGTGTGTATGCATAGTAATTCTTTATTTTTCTGCATGGGAGCAAAGCGACCGGCGGTGCTCCCCTATTGCCGATCTAAGAGGGATACTTAATATTCATATTCAGTCTCTTTCAGCAAGAAGAAAAACTCAAAACAAAACCATCATGATGAGAACGTTGAAGAGATGCAGTAGTCTCAGAGACACCGATCCTGCGCTCTCCTGTTGATGGAACAGACCTAAGCATATTGCTGTACATAGAAGAAGTTGCTGCTGTCAAAAGAAGTTGTCGTTATAAGAAGTTGTTATTGCTGAAAGGCGTTGCAACTACTGAAAGCAGTTGTTGCAATTTGAAATTGTTGCTGTAGGAAGAAGCTGCTGCTTCCAAAAGAAGGAAAGAAGTTCTTACTGCAAGAAGAAGTTGTCGTTGTTAGAAGAAGTTGTTGCTGTTCAAAGAGGATGCCATTGATAAAAGTTGTCATTATTAGGAGATGTTGTTTTCTCTTAAGGATGTTGTTCTTCTGCTGCTACCGGAGCAGTCGGTTTCGTTCGTATGCATCAATGGCTTCTTCCGTTGCCAATGCGAGGCTGGGTGTTGTTGAAGCTGGCTCCATTGTTAGCATCGGTATGTGTGTGAAGCCGGAAGACGAGATGCCTGCTGCTGCACTCTCCCCCTCTACAGCAGCAACGGTATGCCCACAGCCATAGAGTCGATAGGCGTACGTACAGAGGCCCTCAAGGCCCACGGGGCCCCTAGCGTGGGTTTTCCCTGTTGCAATCCCGACTTCAGCTTGAAACCCAAAACGGTAGCCGTCTGCAAACCTCGTGCTGCAGTTACAAAAGACGTCTGCGCTGCTAACACCCCTCATGAACGTCTCTATGTGGGGAGGAGTGAAAGAGAGAATGAGATCTGTATGGTGGGAGCCGTTTCTGTTAATACACTCCACAGCCTCTTCAACGCTTTCCACAACTCGCACAGACAATATGGGGGCAAGCCACTCCGTCTTGAAATCCTCTTCTGCGGCAGGTTGGGTCGCTTCAGGCGGCAGCAGCTGCGCAGCAGCTGCATGAGCACGAAACTGAACACCTTCTGCTGCTAGAGCCTGGCCTAGAACAGGTAGGAGCTTTGCTGCTGCATCTTTGTGCACAAGCAGCACCTCTAAAGCGTTGCATGCAGCAACATACTGCAACTTGCTGTCTCGTATAACCCCCACTACCTGCTGCATGCGTTGCTGCGTTGAGACGCAGTCTGCATCAGCGTAGGCTGTACAGACACCTTCTGCATGCCCCATAACGGGAATACGGGTATTATTTTGTATAAAAGAAACCAATTCTTTGCTTCCTCTTGGAATGACTAGGTCGATGCTGTCGTGCAGCTGCAGCAACTGCTGCACCTCTTCACGAGACTCCACAAGCTGCACCAATGAACACAACCCCTGCATCTCCTCCTCAGACACCGGAGGCAGACCCAGCTGCTTGAGGCCCCCCATCACTGAACGAACTCCCAGAACAAATGCTTCATGCAAAGCTGCGTTCGTGCGAGCAGCTTCCTTCCCTCCTTTCAGCAGACAAACCTGCACCCAAACAAACGAACAAACAAACAAACAAATATATATATATATATATATATATATAGCGGCTATTCCAAGAAACGCCTTCTTCTAGCTGTCTCTGACTCCGTCTTTCTGTCTGTTTCAGGCGTCTCCTTTCCCCCTTCGCAGCAGACGCACCTGAAGAGAAACAAATAAACAAATAAATAAATAAATAAATAAATAAACACAGAGACATAAACAAACTGAGAGCCACAGTGAATGTTAGAACCAGGCAAAAGAAAGATTGCGTTCGGCTGCACAGGGAGAAAAAACGTGCTTCTGCTGCTGTTGCTGTTGGTGCTGCTGTTGCTGCTATTGCTGTTGTTGCTGCTGTTGCTGCTGCTGCTGTTGTTGCTGCTGTTGCCGCTGCTGCTACTGAGGAGTAGAAGACAGACATTGCCAGACTTGAGACCCAAAGACGCAATCTGAACGAACGCCTCAGGGCGGCCCTCAAAAATAATCAATAAAACGCCGAGAGGAACAGTGACCCGATAAAGGTGGAGGCCTTAACAGGAATAAAACACAAAGAATACAAAAACTGCTGTTGAAGAAATCCGAAAAACACAAAAACAGACACAACAAGCAGCACGTGCACCAATCCCAGCCTCATCCGGCGCCAATGCAGCAGCAGCACCTGTTCCTACAACAGCTGCTGCTCCAGCTACTGCTGCCACTTCAGCTACTGCTACTGCTGCAGCTGCTTTTGTTGCTGCTGCTGCTGTTGCTGCTGCAACGGCTCCTGTTGGAGCAACTGCTGCTGCTGCTGCTATTGCTGCAGGTGGTACCTGGGGCGAGTTCCGTGGCCAGTGTGCATTTTCCGAGTGGATTTGGCGCTGCTCTGAGGGCATCGATGTTGGTGGCGAGGGTCTGCAATTTGCGTGCATCTAAGGCGAGCCTCTTTAGCAGTGCTGGAGGCACACTGCCGCTGCTGCTGGCCTCCTGCAGCAACAAACCAAGCCCCACGGTGTGGCGCATGAGTGCATGCATGCATGCAGATACGCATGCATGTGTGTGTTTGGCTGAAGCTGGGGAACTGCAAGGAGACAGGCACTTCGTAGCGGGAGTGGTGGGTTGTCTACTGCAGCAACCGCAGCAAGACCAGTACATACACCCCATGCCTGATTCTCAATCCCGTCAAATAAACGCAGCAACTGACCTCTAAGTCGGCTCTGTTTGCTTGTAGTATTTTCTCTTCTTGAAGCAGAAGCCCTTCTCTTAATGCAGACAATACTCTGTCTCGTGTAGAAGCAGGCAAACGAGCAGCGATAGCCTTCGCTTCCCTAATCTGTTGCTGCAGCGCCTCTAGGCGGCTGGGGGTGGGCATTGTGGGTTAACTGGGACGCAAAAACAGAAAAGAATTCAAATAACTTGTTTTTAAATCCGTTTTGTTACCTTTTTTCAGGTTTTTTCGCATGTATTCATCACCAACTGTACAGACACCTCGAACGGACTGCGGTGGACCGCTGCGGGCGCCTCACCTCGGCAGACAGCCGAGCAGCTGGAGGCGAAAGAAGAGTTTCTGTGCATTAATCTAATAATATTTTTAATTGTATTAAATTAAAAATAGAATTTAACATATAAACACCCCGGATAGGCCGTCAGAACCTCAACAAATTGCTGTACTCTGCCGCTCCACTCCCTGCCACGCCTGCTGTTCCTGCAGCCAACACGTCGAGAGGTTTGCTGCGGTGTGCATGCAGCTTCGTCTTCTTCTATTGGCATCTGAAAGAAATATTACAAATAGTGCTAAGACATGCTTTGGAAAACGCGAACTCCGTGGAGCATAGACAAAGGGCAGTCCCTGGTGCCTTCTCCCGCCGTTCGCTGCTACTGCGGTTGCCGCTGCTGCTGCACAGCAAAGATAGGCCCACCGACAACAAATAATACTTCCGCTATACGTTCTTCGCTCGTCTCTGTTGTCTCCTTCTCGTACACTTTTGCACTGGAAGACAATGAATTAATGCCTGCCTCCTTCTATGCTAACTTAGACACGATCTAGACTGGAAACAAAAATGTAGGTAGCCCTAGGATTTGAGGTGTATGCGTGAGAGAGTGAAAATAAAATAGAGCCCCTTGGCTGTCTCCCCAGACACCGTAGAGGCGGAAAGAACCCCTGCTACGGCGAGAGCGAATGAAGGTCATGCGCTATCGGGCAACTGAAATGCATGCAGCGAAATAAGCAGGAGTATTCTGCCTGCATTAAATACAAATTCTTAAAAACATCCAACAAGCAAACCCCAGAAGCCCCCTGGGGCTGGTGGCTGCTGCGGAAAAGAGACACCTGAGGCAGACTCTGTCAGGTGTTGCAGCAAACCACCTCCTTGCTGCAATTCCTGCTGCAGCAAAAGCCCCAGTGCATGCATGCATGCACTGGGGCTTTGTCCCTCAACAGCAATCTTGTACCCACGTACTAATAAAGCCTAAATCGTATGCTTTAAACCTAAACTTCAGCACCGCGGCTTGAAACCCGTAAAGGCTACACTCAGCACCCCCAGCAGATACTGCAAAAGCCCAGATGCATGCACACTGTCTGCTGCATCTTGCTGCTGCATTGTCAATCAGGGGAGACACAGCAGCACCCGCAAGTGTCCCCTCAGCCCCTCTGCATCTTGCTGCTGCACTACGCAGCAAAAGAGACCAGCAGCAGCAACCGTCTACTCCGAGGAGTCCCGTTCAAGGGTACACCGCCGCCACGCCTGGCGTAAGAAACACAACTAATAATCCCCCCGTTTCTGTTGCAGCTTCTGCTGCTGCCGCTGCTGCTGCTGTTGCCGCCTCTGCTGCTATTGCTGCTGCAGTCGAGGGCGCAGCTGCTGCAGGAGGTCCTCCATGCATTGCGTACTGCAGGTGGTGCTGCTGCTCTGGTTCTAGCAACAGCCTCTGGGTGTAAGTGCAGCTTCTGTCTCACTTCTGCTGCTGCTGCTGTTGCTGTTGCTGCAGCAGTTGCTGCAATGTTTCAAGGGTTTTCGACAGTTGGTGCTGCTGCTGCTGCGCATGCAGCTCCTGCAGCAGCAGCGGCAGCCCCTCAGCAGCCTGCAGGAAGGCCCTCACGTTGGAGATTGTGCGGAGACACCTGAAATAAAGAGCAGGTGAGCATACACCTGAGAAACAAGAGTGAAGCAAGAACAGTCTTGCTCGTAACTTCTTGTATTGAGAATGTGTTTGTTCCTCGGTGCCGTTGTCTGCTTGGCTGCTTCACTTGCTATCTCTCTCTGTCTCCTCTCTGTCTCTCTTTGTCTCCTTTTCGTTTGTGATCGTTTCATCTCTACCTCCTCTTATTTTTCTGTCTCTGTTTACTTTTCTGTTTCTGTGTTTGTGTCCGTCTGTCTGTCTGTCTTTCCTCCTCCTTCGGTGCATCTGCTCCGCCCCAAACCCTAAACCCCAAACCCTAAACCCTTACCTCCAGCCCCTACACTAAGCGAAACTTACAGAGCTCTAAATCCTAAACCCAAAACCCCAAAGTATGGTCCCTCAACCCTAAACCCTAATCATAAGTACAACAAAGACGCCAGGACGCTGAACCCTAAACCCTAAACCCTAAACCCTCACCTGTGATCTCTCACGCAGTCTGCAGGAAAGTTGTACGTCCGAATTTTCTCGCTGCGGTCTTTGGTGCCCATCTGCGCCCCTGCAGTAGCGTGTAGCTGCTGCTGCTGTTGCTGCTGCTTGCGCTGCTGCAGCAGGTGCCGCAGCAGCACCAGAGCCCTCTTGCGGTTGTCCGCCTGCGAGTGGAGCACAGGCAACGAACTATCCCAACCTCTAGCAGCAGCATCAGCATCAGCAGCAGAAGCACGGAGACGCAAATACCTGAGGCACCCTCTCTCAGCTGCAGCATCTCCAACAGCAAGAACAAGAAGAAGAACAACAACAACCGCAAAAGCAACGCCAGCAGCAGCAAGACCAACATCAGCACAAGCGCAGCAACAGCAACGACGACAACAGCAGGACGAGCAACGGCAGGAGTAGCAGCAGCAGCAGCCCCAATCAACAGCAGCAGCAGCAGCAGCGGACTTGGCTGGAGGTTTCCTGCATGCAGACTGCCAGCCCCGTGGGGAGATGAGTGACGCGAACAGCCGTTTCGCTTTTGTTGACGCTCTGACCCCCGGGGCCGCTGGCTCGCATATTCTCTATGCGGATGCTGCTTGCACTCAGGTCCACTGCAGCAGAAGCAAAAGCAGCAGCAGCAGCAGCAGCAACAGCAGATGAAGATGCAGCATATGCAACACAAGGTGCTGCAGAAACAGACCCAGTCAAGAAATAAACGCGAAGGAACAACAAGGGAGACGCAACCGGCACGCCAGCAGCAAACAGCAACACCAGCAGCGCAGCAGCAGTAGCACAGCAGCAACATCAGCAGCAACAGCAGCAGCAGCAGCAGCGTTGCTGACCTTCTGCCTCGGAGAGACAGGGCAGCACCGTCACAGCAGCAGTTGATGTCTGCAGTCTCTTCTTCGCATCTGTTGAGGGCACTCGCTGCACGCGATGTACTCCCGCTTCTAAAGGAAGCAACGCACATACGCCCTCACCTGCAGCAGCAGCAGCAGCAGCAGCAGCAACGGGAGGAGCAGCGGGAGCAGTCCATGCACAAGGTGCATGAGGAGGGTGAAGGGCTGTAACTATTATATGCCGCAGCAGCAGGTGCTGCTGCTGCTGTTGCTGCGCTTCTTCTCACTACACGGTCCCCAAAGCAGCAGCAGAAGCAGCAGCTACAGCAGCAATGCCGCAAGCAGCACCAGCAGCAAATACGCGGTGGCAGCATCCGCTCCAGATGCAGCAGCAGCGACGGACGAGCAGCAAAAGAGCATCAGCAACAGAACAGCAGCAGCAGTAGACAGGCATCAGAACAGCAGCAGCAGCAGCACCAGAATACAAACAGCAGAACAGCAGCAAGCAGCAGCACCAGACGAACGCCAGGACAGCATCAACAGCATCAGAGAAGCAGCAACAGCAACAGCAGAACAGTAAAAGCAGCAGCAGAACAAGAGCAGCAGCAGCCGCAGAACATCAACAGCAGCACGAGCTGAACAGCAGCAGCAGCACCAGCAGAACAGCAGCAGCAGCAGCAGAAGCAGCAGCAGAGCGTTACCTGACACGAGTGCCTTTGCTCTCCTCACTCCTCCTCCTTCGCTTTTGTGTCTCTCTACAACTTCAAACGACCATCCCTTCTCCCTGCTGAGCATGAGATACATTTCGAACAACTCTGCAGCAAACAGAGCAGCCTCTTCGCCGCCAACGCCCGCTATCACCTGCAGCAGCAGCAGCAACAACAGAGGCAGAAGCAACAGCAGTAGCAGCAACAGCAGCAGCGGACAGAAGCAAAAGTCGCAGGCGGAGTGGAAGAACACAGGCACACGCGTCAGGTAACGCCCTGCTGCTGCTGCTGCTGCTACTTTGCTGCTGGAAGAAGACAATTATGAATAGGGGACGCAATAGATAGAAGCAGCAGCAACATGAGCAGCAGCAATATCGCCAGCAGAAGCAGCAGCACTAGCAGTGCAGAGTGCTGCAGCAGCACCAACACAAGGAGCAGCATTATGTCTCTGACCTCCAGCATGACTTCTTCTAGACGGTCCTCTATTTGGCTTTGATGCCTCTTGCTGGCTGGTTGCTGCTGCTGCTGCTGGGCTGCTGCTGCAGCAATTGCATCGGCCTGCTGGAGCAGCAACTGAGCTATCTCCGCGGCAGCAGCATCTTCCTCTCGCTGCAGCTCCAACAACTCCGTGTCTACACCCTCCTCACCTCCGCTACTGCCGTTGCTACTGTTGCTGCTGCTGTTGCTGCTAGTCTTGCTGAGGCTCTGCTGCTGCTGCTCCAGCAGCAGCGAACGCAATGCCTTTATGTCTTCTCTCACGGCGGCAAACCGCGACAGGACCGGAAGCACAGAAGGAGAAAGGACGGCTTCGAAATCAATAGCTTGCCCGTGTTGTCCTCTCTGCTGCTTTTGCTGCTGCTGTTGCTGCTGCTGTTGTTGCTGCTGCTGCTGCAGCAGCAGGGCCACACGCTCCAAGACGACCCTCTGGGGCTCCTCTACTGTCAGCTCGTAGCATCCCTCAGCAGCGAATGCTGCTGTGGCGTAGCGGCGGCGGTCTAATCCTGCTCCTGCTGCTGCTGCTGCTGAGTAGCAGCAGCAGCTGTTGAGTCCTGCTGCAGCCGATCCACCTGGCAGCGAGAAACAGAAAGTGGTCGTGAAGAAATTCCAGCTGCTGCTGCTGCTGTTGCTGTAGCCCTGCCTATGCAGCAGCTCGGGGGCACTAGCTTCCCTGCTCCTGGCGTTGATCTTGCTGTTGGCGCTTCTGTGTCGAGCTGCTGCTGCTGCTGCTGCTGCTGGTCGCTGCTGGCTCAACAGGAGCCTTCCCAGCAGATTCCTGAGGCTTCTGGTGCAGCTGCTATTCATATTACTTGTGGTGTACGAACACCTGAAGAGGTAGGCGAAACACACCCAAATAACAGCAACAGCAGCAGCAACGGCAGCAGCAACAGCAACAGCAACAGACCGCCGACGGGGGCCCCCGGGGCCTCCGGGGGCCCCCGCGCCTGCTGCCTTGTCTGGCTGTTATCGTTGAAAGAAGTACAGGAGTTAATTTTTGTTGCTGCTGTCCGCTCCTAATAGAGGCAAAATACAAGACCTTTTGCTGCTGAAACTGCAGCAACAGCAGGGGCAGCAAAGGCGGGAGGTGGGCAGCAGCAACTGCTGCTGCTGCTGCTGCTGTGGGCTTCAATTTGAAGGCTGCTCTTAGCAGCAAACTCTGTGTACACACTACTCAACTAAGAGGCTCCTTTGAAGGGCTCACCGCGGCGCCTCTGCATGCACCGGCAGTGGGCTTCCTGCCTAAGCAGCAGCCGCTGCAGCAGGAGAAGCTGAAACGTCTAGCAGCAGCAGCAGCAGCAGCAGCGGGAACAGCCTAGCGGAGGACGAAGATCAAATCCCAAGGGGGAGGCCCCTCATCATTTGTTGTGTCTGCTGTACATTGTTTACGTGCACCAGCAGCAACAACAAGGACAACACTAAGAACAGCAGCAACAACAGCAGCGGCAACAACTGCAGCAGCAGCAATAACAACACCCTCAGCCCATACCGACCCAGAAGCAGCACCAGCAGCAGCAACTACAGAAGCGGCAGCAACAGTAGCTCGTGTGTCCGTCCCTCTCGCATTCTCCCTGCTCGACCGCAGCTGCCGCCTGCCCTCGCGTTGCAGCTGCATGATGCTGCGCTGAGGCAGGGCCTGCTGCTGCAGCAGCAGGGTAGAAGCTGGAGCAGCAACAGCAGCAGCCCTAGGAAAGTTACTGGGGGTCAGGCTGGGGATGGCTGCTGCGCAGATGCTCCACAGCAGCAGGAGTTATTTTTTGAGGCTGAGCGAGTGGGAGAGAAACAGCAGCAGCTGCTGCTGCTGCCGCTACTGCTGCTGGCTAGCTAAGCATGGAGCAAAACATCAAATGCAGACGCATAATGCAAAAAAGCCTAAGCAGCTGTGACGAATAGACCTGCTGCTACCTTTTGCGGGAAGTTCTATTTTTTTGCAGTTTCTTCTTGGGAAAGAACGCAGTACATACTCCAACAAAATAATTTTCTGTTTCTGCTCAAGTTGTTTCGGGGCAGGCCTTGTCAGTGTAGCTATTATATATATATATATATATA